AGAGCTTGGGATCCAGCCCTGCCTGAACATCTGCACCACAGTTTTGCAGCCTGAGCCCCGTGAGTCCAACTCAGCTGACACTGGCCCAGCAGCAGGTGTTTAATTGCTGTGTAGACATACCCATAGTAAATGACAGACCCTGCCCCTAAGATCTTACACTCTTTAAACACACAAATTGTTAGTATTGCCACAGTATAACTGGGGAACTGAGGTGTTTAGAGATTAAGGGACTTGTCCAAGTCTCAGAGGAAGTCTGTGGCAGAGCTAGAATGTGATCTCAGATTTCTTGAGTTCCTGTCTATTGTCTCAACAACAAGACCATCCTTCCACTTTAAAGTCCTTTGTAAGAGGAAAGTATTAGCTAGAGATTGGACCCAAACCAAATCTCAGATGCTAAAACCTTGTTTCCCGCTCTTGAATTTGTAGGAGGTTCAGATCTGGATCTTGATTCAATAGCTGATTGCTCTATAACGAGTAAAATCAACCCCCCAGATCCAACAATAGGAACTTTGGAAAAATTCAAATTAGGACCCACATTTTGCAGCTTAGTCTATCAGCAGTATTATCATCCTGTTTTACACAAAGCAGACTGGCTTATCCAAAACTAGAGCTGGTTGGAGAAACTTTGGCAAAACAGGCAGTTCTGCTGAAATGAAAATGCCTCACAAAATCAGTTGATTTTGACAGAATTTCATTTAGGAAAAAAACTAGGAGAAAAAAGTTCTGACAACATCAAAGTGTTTTGTTTTCAATTTTTTTGAACGAAAAGCTTCAATTTTTCAGTTTTAAATGAAAAGCTTCATTTAGAATATTTTTAAATTTTGTATTGTATATTTTAATATACTATAAAAATTTTAAAGGCAAAATTGAAGTGAAAACATTTTGATTTTGTTGAAATGAAATGTTTCCATCAACCCAAAACAATTTTTTTCAGAATTTTCCTTCACAGGGAGTTTTTTTTTTTTTTTTTTTCAGGGCTGCCCAGAGGATTCAGGGGGCCCGGGGCAAACCAATTTCAGGGGCCCCTTCCATAAAAAAAAGTTGCAATACTATAGAATACTATATTATCGTGGGGGCCCCGTGGGGCCCGGGACCTGGAGCAAATTGCCCCACTTGCCCCCCCCCCCCCCCCGGGCAGCCCCGTTTTTTTTCACTCCAGTTTGAAACAAGCCATTCATAAAAATCCAAAAATCCTTTGCAAAACAGAATTTACATCCTCAGCACGGATTTGTCCAAAACCACAAAGGAAAGTTGTGTCTGAGTTGGGATTCAAATTCAAGAGTTCCTGACTCTGAATCATGTGTACAGAGCATGTAAGAGGGTGGGGTCTGTCCCATGTTAGAGTGAGCAGGTACTGGAGTCAGTCACAGCCTGTTCCAGGTGTTTTGGAGCACATGTGGGGAGAGAGAAAGTGGTCCTGGAATGATAAGTAGTGTCTGGGTGTTTCCAAGCGATTGTTTCTTTAAGGACGTGGGACAAGGAGCCTTGTGGTGCAGGGTGAGGCAAGGCTCCCTTCTCTCCCAGTAATGCAGGATGAGTTCTGGGAAACAGGATAGTTTATCACCGGATTCTTCCCTCATAAGAGTTGAGACACCAACCAGGAAGGAGGCCTGCCTGCTGACTTCTCCGCATCCAGAGAAGAATGGAATTTAGCAGGAGAGGCCAGCTGTGGGAAGCTGATCCAGGTCTGCAACTGACAGGAATAAGCATAGCCCCAAGGAGGTGAACTTTGAGACTCCTCTGTTAGGAGGAGACGACTTTGGAAGAAAGCTACTCAGGAAGGAGGGACTGGGTGGAAAAGCCTGTTTGTGTTTGAATTTTGAAAGGAACTTTTAAGAGAAGACAGGCCTCAGGGATGAGGGCCTGGGCCCAGCTTGAGACTGGTATGAAGAGACTGCGGGGTTTTTATTTGTCCTTTTGACTGGTGTACCCCAGAAGGGGTGGATTTTTGTTAAACAGCTTTAGCCAGAGGACCAAGTCACTGGAGTAGCCAAACCAGGTTGTGGGCATTTTCAAAGATGCCCTAAGAAGGAGAAACAAAGGCAGGGCCACTGCAGAACCATCTAGGCCATGGGGAGGCGGGGCGGTGGGGGGCACTCAGGAACGGCAACCCAATTAGAGAGCACTAGAGCACATCCCAACTTGCACTTAGTTCTCACTTTTTTCTGAGTATTTATGGTCAAGTAAAACCAGTGCAATATGTCCTCTGAATGGGTCAAGAACGTTGCTCCAACATTTACAATCAACAATATTTTATGATACTTTGCATATAATAGCTAGGATTTACTGTTGAGCAACTTTCATCTGAGTGTGTCAGTGTTTCACAAACAAATTAAGGCTCATATGATGGGTGTATTTAAACTGTCATACAGAGGATCACACTAGAGTATAGAGAGTTTAGTGGCCTGATTCTCAAAGGGCACTGAGGACCATGACTTCCCAGTGAAGTTAGTGGGAGCAGCAAGGGGTTACTTAGCACCTTTGAAGGTCAGGTTGTTCCAAAAGCAGCTCAGTGGAATCTACTTGTAACGGTGCATATTAAACTATTTAATTTTCAGCATATCGTGCCGCTGGTTTCTCTTCACATTTTTTTTTTAATATTGCTCTAGTGTTCACCTTTCGCTCTTGTTTGCTTTTAGCTATTTTCCAAACCACAATTTCAGTCTCTATTAAAAGTTATGTAAAATATAGAATGAGTTAGAATTCTAAATATTTAAAATATGACATGTTGTTGTTACAGCTGAGCTCAGAAACATTTGCCAACGTTTTTTAATTCAGTAAATGGGTCAGTCTCACCTGCCCTGGGTCACAGAGGCCCACTAACTTCAGGCCAGGTCCTCACCTGGTGTAAATTGACATACATTAATAATAATAATTGATGTAAATTAGCTATCAGAGCCAAGTGAATTTACACCAATTGAGGGTCTGTTTTGTTATTTTAAAAATGGAAAATTTTTTTTAAAATGTGTAACGTTTCTCATTTTGATAACCTTAATTTCCATCTCAGTTTTTTGTACTGTCTTGCTGCTCCAGTTGACAGCCAGAATGCACTGTGACATTGCATTTAGCGTGTAATCCTGCAAGGTGTTGAGAACTCCAGCCCCACACAAGCACTTAAGCAGATGCTCTACTTTAAATGTGTGAGTAGTCCCATCAAAATCAATGGAATTTCTTAAATGCTATGTTGAATTGGAGCTAGAGTACTGGCTCAAGCCTTTAGCGTGCCTACCCTGATGGATCTTTACAGCATTTTATAGAACTTAAGTATTTAACCTGCCCATCTGCCTGCTTCCCTATATCTAACTTGCACCATCACTGAAGTGCAGTCACTCTGAGGCAGAATCATGGGGCAGTTCTCTTACCGCGCACCGCAGCACTACGCAGCTGCCCGGGGGAGGACGTGGAGAATACCGTATGCAAGTGCTGGAAGAATTTAAATAGGTAGAATCTGAATAATTCAAACCAGAATCTGGCCAATTCTCTGGAGTTAGGACAACACCTACTGTTAAAAAAAAATGCCATAAGGTCTTTAATGAACACAAGTGGGTTGGAAAACCCTGATGTTGGATCTCACCTGAAAGAGATCTCCAATAGCTCATTCCTCCAAATCCATACCATACCCATCACCAAGCCTGTGCTGCTGAACCAAGGGAAGCCATCGTTAATGGTGTGCATGCCAATCTAATTCTCTGAAGTGCTGGAACGATTTTTATAGCGGGGGTGCTGATGATGGAAACCATGTCTTTGGTATTACTACTTCAAGGCAGTGGAAGTGGTAGCACCCCCACTATTCATAGTTCCAGCACCAATGCATTGAGACCACTGTGCTTTATTTCTTCTCTCTCCAATGTTAGCATCTTAAGTGTGTGAGGATTTCTCTACCAGATATATTAGGATCTTCCGCAGACTTCGCTTAATTATTTTCCAATGCATTATTTCTTTACATCTAATTGAATTTTTAGACAGAATTGTGCTGCTGTGCAGCATATTGAGTGCTGGTGATTACCTGGCATCTACTCCAGAAATGACTGCATCACCACCTCTGGATTTTCCACTGCATTCCATCTTCTCTGCCTGTACTCTAGGCTGGATGCTTTTTGTGACTTTTTTTGTATGTGTGTGTATCAAATCTAAAGAAATATTAACTAGAACAGTTGAAAATTTTCAGTGCTTCAGTGAGATATTTTTGTGAGGAAAAACTTGCAAAATTTCTATCCGCTCTAGAATAATGATAATTAGTAATATCAGTAGGGATGGTATACCTCGACGAACATAAAGTATTTTTAGATCCTTTGGTATGGAAAGTGTTTTATAAATGCACGCTGTTACTTGAGTGGAATGCTCTGAACTGGGACATCCCATTGATGAACCTGTCTTTCTTATTAAGCCATCCATTTAAGAGGCCATACTATTTTGAAAAAGTCTTACAATGAAGTAAATTATTGTACTGGATAAAAATATAGGAACAAAATAGTATTTATGGCATTCCACCTTTATTTTGTCACTTTTTAATCTGTTATATTTTGTTATATTTATTATTATAGATTTTAATATCATTGTTTATATTAAATGTTACATATTATTTAAAAACAGGATTGAGAACCCCACAGCTGGCTAGAAACCACTAAACCCTTAGCACTAGCCAAATATGCCCCCAAGAAGTGGAATTTATGCTAATATTACCCTGCATAGTTATTGACTTCAGTGGGATTTAAGCATGTACTTAAGTGCTTTGCAGTATTGGGGCCTGAAGCAGCAGTCTTAACCACTTGCCAATTTTAGACTAATTTAATTCTATGGCAAACATCCCAGAATAAAGTGACTGCTCAGGTCCAGTGCAGTGTATTTTCGTAGTAGTAGTACTGGTGTAAGTATTGTATCCAACTTTGAAAATTTCTACACAGGTTTGCTGCATTTGAGGATTCTGGCCTTTATACTGTACCTAATAACATTCTTTTTTCATTGCAGATTGACTTATTTTTGTTTTTATTATTTTACAGCAAGTACTGACTGATCCTGAGGTGGCATCCCAAGAGGGCTGTATAAAAAAGGTAGGAAAAGATTTAATCTTATCCAAGTTGTGTTCATTACTTGGCTTTGTAATTATCTTGATAGTTTTCCGTTTTCATTTGCATATGAATGTGTAATAAATGTAGGTATCAAAATACATGAAAAAGGCTTTCAGAGCTTGTTTTCCATTTCTATGAGTGCAGGATTGTACCCCTAGTTTTATTTGGGGGTACTTTTCTGTGTGATTTGTGGATCTAATACTTTGTAAAAGGAATCCTTGTTACAGTTCTAGCCTAGGCAATAGCTGTTCAAACCTGGAAACCCCATTTTCCAGTGAAATGTTTGTCCTTACTTCTAAGTAGAAGTCAGTTCACCATATGATGTTTATTTGAAATCAAAGGGATCTGGTATGCATGAATAAAAGAACAGAATTTAACTAGTCTTCTGTATTACCAAGCTTTTCCTCAGTTTGTGACATCTTAAACTATATTTCCAGAGAAAATCTGGTTTCAAGTGTATTTTAGCTATATTATAATTTCTATAAATGTCTATATTGGAACTGTTTGACAACCCCATAAAGTACATGTGTCAGTAGCCTGTCTAGTGTTTTGGTCAGGATTATTTTAAATAACATAAAAATAACATTCTTTCCACTCGTACTGTATCTTTGGTTAACGGTATTATAAGGTAAAGCATAGCAAGTCGCATTTGATTATAGCCTACCTAGATGCCCATAAGAGGGGTAGCTTATCCTTGTTTGAGTCATGAGTTGGCTTTAATTCCTTTCACATGTTATTGTCTTATTAGAAATAGACACATATGAGATTCAAAAGTGTCAAATATTTGAAGTTGGAAAACTGCAACAACTGCCATTTTTTCCACCCATTTAGGCCATCTTAAATACCATTTCTTAGCTCCGAAAGTTAAAAGAAAACACTTGTGCAGTTCTGCCAAACATAGTGAAATCTAATACTTGTCAGGCTCCAGAGTTAGTTTTAGAACAGATATTTAGACACATCTATGTCCAGTATGGACCATTCTATTCACACCACGTTGAGCAAAATAAGCTTTTATTTTGGAAGCTAAGCCTTCCTCTATGAAATGTCTTTTGACCATCCATTGACCTTGCAAGAGGACCTATAGCAATATTGCTGAACTTTTTACCTTGTTGATCTCCATAACTCATTTCATGTTCGTCTGTGCCTCAGTGGGATCCTTTTGTCTGAGCAGACATGGTGACAAGGTGGCAGGTTCGTATTATCATAACCCACTTATCACAAAGATGGAAGTAAATTCTCCATGGCCCAGGGACTGCTCAGCTATTTCTATCTGGTAGTCTTTAATTACAATATCACAAATCCACATTCAACCTAAAAAGAAGTCTTTGAACAAAGGAAGAGTAGGAGGAGATATTAAACAGACATCTTCAGATGTACAAAAAAAAATCCAGTTCAGTTGTACTGTTTTTGTTACGAAGTAAAAGATGACAACATTTATTTCCCCCTTCCCAAAAGCTTTCCTGCAGCTTCAAAATTCTCTTACTCCAAATGTAACACTGGACAATTATGATATTTGACAGAGGGACTGCCACTGTGACTTTTTCTTCTAAATGCATTGTGGAGAAGCACTAGTGGGAGTTTATGAGGTGATAAATTTACTGGAGGATGGGCAGTAGGGTTTTACAGCCAGGGTAAAAAAGGTCAAAGCAGTAAGGTAAAGAGTTCAAGTCTAAACTTAATGGCTTGTGAAAGGACCATTGCTGGACAGTTTTTCAGACAGGAGGGGAGGAAAAAACAATGAATGAAAAATAATCCTGTATGATTTTTGCAGAATCAGGACAGGGCTGTGTGGCTTAATTTTTTATAAGAGTAATCTTTGCTTTATCTACATTACACTCTGACAGTGCAAGAAGCCACTGGGGGAACATTTCAGTTCCCAGACTTGCTGAATCATTAAATTGCCATACTCAATGGGATACACAATTTTCTGGGGTTTGATTTCCGTTTAATCCTCTTCCTTTTGAGGCATGCTGGAGGACAGGAATGTGGCTCACTCCCCATACAGCCACCAAGACAGACGTGAATGTAGTGAGTGGGCCAGTCCAGGCTGGAAACAAGGAAAGTCAGAACCAAGCAGTGGTCCCGTTGTTTGGAAATGAGTCAGTTAAGTGGCTGTTGCATCAAAGGTTCTGAAGGGGGCAATAGCAGGGAACATAAATAGGGCGTGAGAGAGAAAGACATGGAAGAGAGGGAAGACCTGAAAAAAGGGAAAGCCTGGAGGGAAGACTGACAGAACTGAAGTATAGTTGGAGACACGTGAAGTTTGTTTAGTTTAAACCCTCAACATAATTTTTCCTGGTTAAATTACCAACTGGAGGAAATGTTCTACTTTCTATCAGTCCTTTTCCATTAATAAACTATTAGTGAAATGCTCAAGAACTTTATTTAGAGGACACTACTTTATTGTATAATAAATAAAGGCTTCCATTTAGCTTGGGGTAAAATATAAAATTAACTCAAACTGTTTCTTATAAGGTTCAAATAACTTTTTCACAATATGTTATGGCCTCCACATGTCTGGGTTCGGTAGCTGCTAGAAGCAGAAGTGTCATACTAACACTAGAAGGCTGATTTTGGTGGTGGTACTGGCCTCACAGGAAGCAGGAAGTCCCAGGAATCTAATAAGAGGACCTTTTCCCATGAGGTTTCCAGCCCAGTTTTGTGAAATCTAGAGATTCATATAGTTCACAGAATAATTCAAACTTCTAAGCATGTGCATCCCAGCCAAAGTGAACTGCCAAACATTTTTGTATATTTGCATATTGTTAGCTTTGATTGCATTGTGCCAATACATGGTTTGGGTTATTTTTCTGGAGGTTGAAGTATTTGCTTAAAGAGAATCAGGTAAAATTCACATTTCTGTAGTACACTGCATATATGCCTGCAGGTAGGTTCACGCCGCGTGCACACATTTTTATGTGCATAGATATAGATATTTTCACAGATTCCCATACACATTTTCAAGAACATCTTCCCTGATTAAATCTGCTGCCCTCTATTTTATTTTTCTTAAAGGGCAGCTCATGTGCTTTTTATCTGCATTTTCCAAGCTTTCCCACTGCAGATAATACATCTAAAGATCAGCTTTATATCATTATCATTTTGATTTGACTTCGGGAGGGACATGAAAGATAATACTCCCTGTTCAGCTAGGAAATGATGCCAATGTCCATTGCATGATGCTTTTATTTCTGATGAGTAATGCTACTTGTATTTAACTTTGCTCTAAAAGTCACTTTGAATGAACATTTGAGAATCATGCTGAGAGAGGCTCAGGGTATAGGGCTCCCAACCAACCTCTTCTGGATGGACTGTTTTTCTAACTGTGGTGACAAGAGACCTCAGGGACTTCTCTCTTCAGTAGACTCTCTATTTAGTCTCTGTTTACTTAGAGGGAATAGCCTAAGGGGCTACTGGAGAGAAAACATCTGTGGGAGATAATCTATAGAGTTATCTATCTATCACTCTTGTCGACCCTGTCTCCCTTGAGAGCAAGCTGAGAGACTTGTAATAAAAAGGCATCGCTGAAGAGGCTTTAGGGACAAATAAAGAGACATGTTAAGGGCCAGCTGAAAATGGATAGAAGACATTATTAAAGCTCAATAGCCATCTTATCAAAATCCAATAGGATAGACATTTGGCAAAAGGTTTAAAATTTATTCTTTGACTTTCTGGAGAGCTTGAATTTATCCATTAACAAGACTGTACTACACAGAGAGGGAGATACCATCAGCTTTAAAAGAGTTAGATTCAATCTGGTATTTTTTTCTATTTTTAGATATATATTTTTATATTTATATATATATATATATATATATATAAAATAATAAAAACTCACCTTTTCTTTTGTGCTTTTTTGACTCACTTTATTTTATATTGCAAAATGTAAGAAGCTGTTAATACAGTACAGATGGAAAGAAAATATAATCTGAAAGTAACCCTTTTTTCCAAAGTAAGTAACTGATAGTCTTGAACATTGTTTAGAAAAAACTCAAACTGCCTTATTTGGAAACCATGACCATCTAGAAAGTGTTCTATGGCACAACGTGCGCTATATAAGTGGAAAGTTGTCAGTAGTGGGCTTTTTAAATTAAAAATTAACTTAGTTTCATTGCTGCAAATGTGAACCAGGATAGACCTATAAATCTTTCTAGGTTTATTATTGTGTACAAAACGCTACAGGTCACAAAAACCATCTGATACTTCAGAAACACATTGTTCAAACTGGATGATTGATTGATAATTATGATAATTTGTGAAATGATTATTTGGGTATTATAAGCAGAGCTTGTCCCACTGGGTTGCTGTGAAGACATTTTCTATAGCCTGGGCCATCAGAAATGGCCCCTGGTAACAAGGGATATGGAAAGGTCTCGTCAGTCTCTCCCAGTGGGATCTCTAGGGCTGATGAATGATGACCCAGAGGAATAAGAAATCAGACTTCAATAAGCAGTCAGGAAGGTAGTTAGGGAAGAGCAGGGGAACTGTTAACTGTCTTTTGTGGAGCAATTACTAGCTAGGCCATACAGCCTGAGGCCTAAGCAGGGTCTATCATAATATTAGATACTCACTGAGAGAGTGACTTAAAGATTTTAACTTGAACTGTTTAATGTTCATGGATTCACAGCATTTCACATTAGTCTACTGTACTGAACACTTTATCACCACATTTTTATTTATTTATTTTACACACACACACACACACACACAGAAAGTGAAGAGCGGATTCCCTGAAACTGTCAAAAAATCCCGAAATTGTAGTGACATTTGTTTTAATTTACAGTTCCACTAATTGATCCACTAACTGCATACGTTTAGGATAAGTGGGATCTGTTAGAAAGGTCCTTGCAGTGGTTATGGAGAGCATGCAGACCAGAGAATAAATGTAATTATTTCTAAATTGTGATAGTATCTGTCTCTGTGTTTGTATTTAGCTAGTGTTTTTATCTCTATCTATTCATAAAAAGCATTAATCTAGCAAT